TTTTATAATCTAAATTTCGCGGAATTCATGAATTCTCGAGAGATCTTAGATTTCGAGGATATCTCACCGCTCAAGAATCTCATAATCTGTATACCTGGAGAAGAAGCTATATTAAACAAAAATATATATAATTTTGTTTTATCGCGATTGATATAAGATCAATTATTCAAATTTTGTCTTGAAAAATTTAAGATCTCAAAATTTTTCAATATTGTGTTTACTGAATTAATCCTTGCATTTCATCGTTATGCGTGAATTAACGCGCACGATTTGCAAGGATCCACGGACGATTATTATGAGATCACCCTGCAGCTTTTCGAAGCCGTTCGCGAACCGTTCATTTTTCGCCGCAGATTATCATGCTCCCGTTATACATTCCGCGAATTCTGTCGGTCGTTGTAACCATTAAGCCGGCTTGTTTGGAACCTACTGGATTATATACACTGGGTGATTCGAAATTTCGATGAGATTGCAACTTACCTTTTAATTTTGTAATTAGATCCTGAGAGTCTTAGAACTTTAAAATCTCAAATCTTCCAATCTTGATAACATAAAGGCTTTAAAAATTTTAGCTTTAAAATTTTAGATTCTTTAATTTTAACAGCATATGGATTCTCAGAAAAAATTTATATTTTCAGATGTCTAAAGACTTTTTTATATAATTTTGATAGAGATTTTTTATGTGATAAAAGTGCAATTCTATATACCTAAAAGTTATAAATGAAAAAATGCTGTAATTATAAATAATATTGTTAGTTCAATTATTACTTTATTACTTATCTCTATTTAGTGCTTATCTCTATAGGTGATTTTAACCCTGTTTTAATCCAATGAGAGTTACTTATTTTGCTACTTTGCGATTCGTTCTTAAACAATTTTGGTGAGAGCGAGTGCTGAACGGGGCGTGAGTAATTTTCTTGAGCGAGAAATTCGCACTACAACGCGCGTTAAATTGAAGCACGTTCTCAGCAATGGTTTTAATTAAAACCCGCAAGGCAAACGGTAATCTGTACTAATCACGAAATTGATCCGCCACGCTTCCAACCCGCACAAACTCTTTCTTTCTTTGCCTCGGATAAAAGGGCCGTCGACCTAGCTTTCGGAAATTCCGAAAATTCCACAAAAGGTGACAGTGCGGCATTAATTAAATTCCTTCGTGACGCTGTAAACCAAACAATTAAGTCGACCGCGAAGTCGAGTCTGCACTTCATATAACTTTATTTAACTAAACTAAAACATAAATTTACACATAAGTTCACGTGAATTGATTTATACATATATTTTAATTTTATTTAAGCTTTTTTTTATACTAATAAATAATTTTACTAATTGAATATTAATACTATGCTATAATATTAATTAAATTCTTTAATTAAAATTTATATTATTTATAATAATTGAATACTTTTTAATAGCTAATACATATCTTGATAAATTTAAAATATATATTTTCGTATATATTTGCAAGCTCGCACATACACGTTTCCGGAATTAGTATATCCATTAGCGAGTAGAGTCAATTAGATCCGCTGACCGAAGACTGGATTCGTTTTACTATTTCGAAGCTGAGGCATTGCGCTAATTGCAAGTTTTAACGAGCGTCGGTTCGTCCAGCTGCTGCTTCCATTTCCGGGATGTCGTACGGACATTGCACGTCTTCTCTCTCTCAGAGGTGTCTTAGAAAATCAGGTTAGCCTCGCCAGGAATCTCCTTTCGCTCTTTCTCACCACGTTAAATCGCGCTCGTTTGGCAAAGAAGCTTCGAGGAAATTTACCTTGAATTCCACGAACCACAACCTCTAATTGTAAATTTTATTACGCAGGAATTTAATTTATTCTGATTATATTAAATTAATTTTACGTCACAGAATATTTTAAGTATAACATGCAATTATACCAATAATTATTACGTTGACAATTAATGGCGAAATGTACTAAAAAATGTTATATCTTCTAGCCATTTAAGAAATTTATATTGCTATTTACTTTTTTATTCACTCATCAGTATAATGTTAAATATTTATTTAAAACACGACAAATGATTTCCTATATTTTTTTGTTAGTGCTACTTTTGAGAACTCTCTTTGACATAATCGCAATGCAATCTACGATAAGAAAAGATCATGTATGGTAGATAAGCGCGATGACCAGCTACTAAGTAGGAAAAGTCCGGAAGACACGAGCAGAGTCTAAAAATATTCTGTCCATCCATGTTGTCCGTTACTACTTCGGGATCGTAGCAGAAGGCGCGTAATGCAGCTTTCTTGTTGCTTTCACATAACACATATCGTGTGCGTCTGTCAACCCATTATAAACATTGTAATTCTCACACTCGTTGATTTTTCTTGTAGTTGACTCATTAATTTCGCAAAGAAATTTCATAAAGGAACATTAATAAAATAGTTATTAAGAAAAAGCTCATATTAAATTAACCATATAATTCTGCGGGTATTTAGAGAACAAAATACACAGATTCTAATGCTGGTATCTTTTTATAAGTTAGACACATATTTTTTGTACTGAATTATTTATATAACTTTAATAATAAGAGAAGCAAAATCTAAATAATAAATTATGGTATATAACCTGCTTCATCTAGTTAAACATATTTTATAAAATGCTATTAATTTTTTAACTATTTTGATGTTTTCATTTAATAGTTTTCTCAGGAATAAACGATAAATATGATGCGTTATATTATTTCATCACTCATGATATAAAGGATAGAAAAGAAGACGCATAAAGAAAAAGAGAGTCCTTCTATGGCACTCCTTTTCTCTTGTTCGTTTTCCTCCTCGTGAACCGCAGAAGCGAAGACGTTACCATAAGAGGACATCTCCCACCATATCTGGACCCCGACCTCTCTTTCTTTCTCTCTCTCTTTCTTCCTTTTTCTCTCCTTTTTCCTGTTCTGGGACCACAGACTTGCGGGCCCCAGGGGTATTCCGAAGGGGATTGTACAGATACTTGTAACTCGTGAATACCGACGTATATTTGCATCAGCAGTTAATTAATTCTGATTTAGCGAAATTATCATTTTTTTCCCTAAATTATAACTTTTTAAATTGAGAAACAATTATATATATTAGAAATCTCTCTCTCTCTCTCTCCCTCTCTCTCTCTCTCTCTCTCTCTCTCTCTTTCTCTCTCAATATTCAAAAACTAATTTATAAATTAGCAGGTAAATAGTAGTGTCAATGATAAAATTTTATCCATTATTTTAATATTACGAATGTGTAAGAAGTTTACACATTCATATACACAATTCTTACATTTTAGTACAACTGATATAATTAAAGTAAAAAATCGGAATTTGTTTTACTGTCAACAATGATTATACTTGACTGTATAAAAGTAATTTACAAGAATAAATCTTTCAAATGTGTGATAAGATTAATTTAATTTTTAACTGTGTTATTCAAAGTAGTGCATACATGTCAAAAGTTAAGTATTCAATTAAAATAGAAATTGGAGAATAAAATAGTACAATTGAAAACTTGCTGAAATTGATTGAAGAAATGCGTAATTTTGGATCGTCGTAAAGCATGAGCCATACACGCGATTCTTCATGACGACCCAGCAAGGAGAAGATAGCGGAATGCATTAAAAAGCGTCGTCGCCATTTACGGCTGTCATCTCACCAGGATAACTCGAAACTGCTCGCAGTGAACTTCGCCTTTTGCGGTACACTGCGGCTCTTTCTGGAGATATCCTTTTTCAAGACTAATGGATCGTGATAAGGATTCATGTCTCGATGATACAACGTTTCATCTCTTTCTCTCTCTCTCTCTCTGTATCGTTAAAAAAAAACGAAGACCTGTATCAGTCTCCGGTGTGACGTGGCGCATTCCGATTAAGTTGTCAAAGGAAGCAATATTAAAAAAGAGAAAAAGTCCGACAATTATAAAGAAATCACAAAATATTTTTATGTTCCTCATACTCCATTTTTAATTTTATTGTTTTTATTTAATTTTAAATTAATCTTGATATCAGTCATTTTTCACGTAATGCATGCTTTTAGATGAAGTTCTTTAACCAAACTGGATTCTAATTTAAATTTCATAACTGAATAAACATGCATAATAAAATATTACTTATATAGCTAACTTTTTAAATGCAAAATTATTCCTATTATTTTTTAATTTGTTATGAAATATTATCACATATCAATATGAATGTTATGAAATGTGAATATGTCGATATGAATTTCGAGATTTCGTATTTTTGACATCTAAAGCAAGTTTACTTCTACTTTCGTCTTCTTGTTAACGCTTTCTTATTCTCTTGTAATGGATTTTCCGATTAAATTAATAGGGTGAGAGATACTTACGTTCCCATGGCCAGGTGAGTCATCGGCTCTCTCTCTCTCTCTCTCTCGTGCCACCCTGTAGTGCCTCGGCACGGTTCGTTTTCTGGGCAAAAGCCGGGACCAGAAACAATGGAAACGAGAGGTCGGTAGGCACGTGTGTGCAAGGTAGCCACGATCGTGACGGTCACGTTTCACTCTCGCATTGTATGTATCGTGTGGTGTACCGTGTGGAAAGCCAGCAAGGGCTTTTGTATGCATCTCTCTCGAGGACATCCTATACTCTTCCGCCTTCCCTTCCTCTCGCTCCTCTTCACGGTAGAGGATGTTATCTATACCTCTATTCGATTCCTGATTGTAAAACTGATTCTTGCTAGATATCGAGAACTTACATATTTACATTGACTTCAATGAATTGATAGAGAAATGATTGGAACTAGCTCTTACTAATTTTAATGAAAAAATAAATACGTATTATATATTTTTTAAGAGCATAGCACTAGAAGTATAGCACTAGAAATTAACTTGATAAATAATTTGGAAATCAGCTTTGAAAGTAATTTGAAATTTTGCAGAAATAAAATATTCAATTATAAAGAATAAGAAATATACACAGTTTTGCGAAAAGCAGCAGGTGTCGCGTTTTATGAAACGACGAAAAAACGATTAATGAGGTTCGCTTTTGTGTTGCACAGGTCGAAAACGTAAGTTTGTGCGTAGGAGCATTGCGGGCTCTGGGAGCGGATGTAGGTGCTGTGAACCCGGGTGAATTGGCGGCAGGATCAACCCTGTGGCCAGTACTGGCTTTGCTCTTCGCCCTGTCACGTTACAAGCAGCGAGCCAAGCAACTACAGGATATGCCCAGGTAAGTTATTCCTTTCGGCAGGACAGTCGATGATCGCATGATTGTGAAAAATGTATAACTTTGACAAGTTTTAAAGATAAGTATAGATTTTTAGGGCCATAAAAATATTGGAATTTAATTTCTTAAATTTGCAAAGCCTTGAAATTTTCTACAAATTTTGAATCTTTATGCCCGGTTTTCACCAACGTCGTTTAACTTGAACCTTAGTTCAATTCATTCTTTGTCTGTTTCTAAGGGAGACTGTTAGAAAGAGACAAAGAGTAAATTGAACTAAGATTCAAGTTAAAGAACGTTGATGAAAAAGAGCATAAATACCGATATATATTTGGCTTCTTTTTAGAATTATATAAATATCTATATTACATACAAGCAAACTTTTGAGATCTAAATACTTTATTTCAATATTTTAAGCTGTCGAGTTGGTTTTGTTTTTGCAATTTAGATTATGAAACTCTTTTTACATTGTAGAATTTTTAAAAAAATTTTTAAAACTTTTAACATATTTAAGATCTTTGTTTTTATATTCTAGAATATTTTTTTTATGTTTTTTGTTTCGCGTATTCACTTTTTACATCTTCAAAATTTTCAATTCTTTTCATCATATCATTAACGGGTAACCATAGACCATACCGACTCTTCGCAATCCAGTCTTCTGAAACAGACCATCAGTTTGCTGTACAGCCCAACGTCGGTAAAATGGCGATGCACGAATCCATGGAGACTTTCGGCAGATATACCTATATATGATCTGCTATAGTAGTCGATGGTATCTATCTACCATGTTTCGATAACTTAAAATCGAACTTTATTAATAATCAAGATATTATTAATATTTAAAGCAATAATCAACTTCATCATTTGTTAGTTAAACATCATTTATGCAGCATATTTATTAATGATTGGTGGTCCATAAAGATGAAAATTCGTTGAATTAATTAAAACGTCGATAAATCCTTTATATAGTCGATCAACTTTTATGAGCCAAAAAGGATTACATTACGGTGATATTTTAATGACACAGAATGTCAGAAGAAAGTTTTTAAGTGCGATTTGACTTAAATTTAACTTACGGACCCGAAACTTGTCGTTGTTTGGGGGTTTTCGGTCGTGAACGAATTATTATAGCTCGATCAAATCGAATTACGTTGAAATCAGATTACGATACGCCATTAAATGATACCTAAAAAGATATGTATTAAAAATTAATGAAAATCTAAAAGAAACTTTACTAACTCATACAGAAAGTCCTTGTATTCCCATAAGGATTAATAAATATTTCGACAAGCCACATGATTAAAACTATAAAAAATTAATTTAATACACATTTCGGAAAATATATTTATATTCTAAAAAAAAATGTTTTTTAATTTTAATAATTATATAATATTGTTATAATTAATATTAAAGCTTGCTTGCGTATCTTATGAATTGCTTAATTATTTGTTGCGTATCTTTTTATTTTGATAATCTCTTTTTTCTAATCAAGTTCTTTAGATTTATTTCTACCAAAAATTGACTTATAAAAAAAATTTGGTCATTTTTTTCTTTTTTTTTTTACATGATTTTGATACGGACTTTGTTTGGCGTGGCATTTGTATTTTGCAGCGACCTGAGATCTATGTCGAGAGCTTTATTTCCTGCCGCGCAGTCGAATCGATACCGACGTCCTGTGGAACAGCGGCCGGGTAGCGGCGTTCATTAACGTCTGCGTTAATCAACCGGTATACCTCCCTCTTTCTCACTCTTTGTCTCTTTCTCGTCTGCTTCCTCGCGTTATCGACGTTGAGTAAAGTGCATACAGTTATACCAATGTTTCGGCACGCAGAAAACGCGTTTCACGGCCGAGAGCGAGGCAACTTCAAATATTTTAATTACTCCGCAGTTAATTGCAGCAACCGAGAAGAGTGAAAGATGGAAACGTGTGTGTGTGCGCGCGCGCGCGCGCGAGAGAGAGAGAGAGAGAGAGAGAGAGAGAGAGAGAGAGACAGAGAGACAGAGAGACAGAGAGACAGAGAGAATGATAAAGAGCAAAAGGAACGATATTTGTTATGTCGCTTAAAAATTCTTTAAAACATGATAAAACAATTTCCAATAGAATATACTTAATTAAATCCGTGTCAGAATCGAAATAAGAAGCTGCATAAAGTCGATATCAAATCATAAAATGTAGTAAGAAATTAAATATTATTTCCTCGCAGTAATAAGATAAAGAAAAGATATACGGAGATAAGTACGATGAAAAAGAGGGCATATCTCTTAAAAGCTATTCTATAGGGGTGACTGACTCTGCGTTCTTATTAATCGCGCGTGCACGCGACTGCACGCGCGGGGATGCCGCACGTGGCAAGCGCCCCAACTGTCAAGGTCGATATTTTTAAATCGTGGTACCTTCTTGGACTGGACGACGAATTGCTTAGATGAGTAACGTCCCGAAATTGTAACTTGAATAATTCGAATAACACTTCGCACCGCATCTAAAATCTGTCCGAATTTTTAGGATTGGGTATTATTTCTGAGATTTTTACTATTTTTAATTTATGATTGCCTCATGGTTGATAATCTGTTTAACACTTGCTTATAAAATTATTTTTTAATTATATTATTATTGGAAAATTAATAACAAACCTGAATCGGAGATAAGTTTTTTTTAGACGAGTTTAGATATTTTTATTTATAACTTTTCCTTTTAGCTTTTTTAGAATGAGTAGAGAAACTCAAATAATTAGTCCTAATTTTAATAAAGAAGTATTCATAGTCTTTCAACGCAATATACGATTGCAAATTAGAAAAAGAAATTCTTCTAATCAATATAACAATTAATGTCTTAAGGAATAACTAATCAATTAATTAAAGTTATGAATTAATAATTTATTCTTCAGCTTTCTTTAATCAGCTTGAAGAAAATCTTTTTACTCCAATAGAATTATTGTAAATTTTTCATACGATTAGATGTCTAACTTGTGTTTCATATTTCAGAAAAGTTACATGTAATATATAAAATAACAATATTCAAATTGGCCCTAGACCGATCTTTTTTGATCGTAAAGATGAAATTAGGGGATGTTTGCGTGCGAACTAGAAAAGTCTTGGCCTGCGAGAGTCGAGATAACGGAAACGCTGAGAGAAATCTCTCTCGGGCAAAAGGGGCATTCGAGCCTGGATCTAATGGAGCGCGTAACAATTCTTCGGGTGGGAGAAACGCGAAGCCGGGGCCCTCGGGCAGGCCGCGTGTGCATTAACATATTAACAATGCTCCATTATGCCCCGGAGTGTATACCTAGTCCCATGCGTGGGCGCGTTATGGACCACTCAAGACCGCGGAACATATATTCGAAGCCTCAAAACATGTATCCTAAACTCGCTCTACGAAAACATTTTAACGAATTTAGTGTGATTTTTTTTATTAAAAGAAAATTTAATAGCAATTTTTCGTTAAATGTTTAAAATTTTTTCGATACATCAATTGCAATAATAACTTGGTTTATTAAATTCAATGTCCAGTTTATGTTAAATATTCAGTCATATGTCTGTAGGAAATTTATTATAATCTATTAGAGTGAAGAGTGTTTTCTCGAAATTGAATGGACAAAGCCTCTTTGTCAGTTTACAATCCTGATGCTTCATTCGCGCATTGAAAGATTTTCTCCTCTAATTCGCAATTATTTATTATTATAAGATTATGAATAGCTTTTTATGAAATCAAAACTAATAATTTAACTTTTCTCTTTCTTGAAAAAGATTTTTTTATACAATATTTGAAAAATTTTTAAAAAATCTTAGCCAAAATTCAATTTTTAAATCTAACAAAAAAATTCAAGGTAAAAATGTATGAGAACGAGCAAAGGTAAAGACTAAGCAAGGGTCAAGGTTGACAAAAAAATTCTAGCACACGTGTACGCACATCTCGTTAGACTGTATGCACAATACATCTATAGCACACGCTCATGCGTGCACGTGCACATTGGGCGCGGGGCATTAGCATAAAAATGGTTTAAAAATTCGTCGAGCGTGCCACTGGCATTGGCTGGCTCCCAGGGAAGACTGAATCCGCCATTGGCTGACTGCGTATCGCGAGAGAGGAGGGTCGAAGAGAACGGGCTTCAGAGAGGCTGTGAGAGCTAAAACGAGTGAGGGAGAGACTGAGAGAAACGGAGATGGAATGAGATCATGAGAGAAAAAGAGAGAGAGGCTAAGAAGGACAAAGACCGATCCTGCGAGGGTGTACCCGAAGAAAAGAGAAAGAGATAAAATAAGGTAAAGAGAGACAGGAAGAGAAGAAGGGATATAGGAGGGTGCGAGAAGGCAGTACCAGGCAGTACTCAGACAAAGAAGCGTAGCAGCGTCGGAGTACCGTAGGCAGAGCGAGAACGAGAATGAGAGAGCGAGAGCGAGCGAACGAGAGAGAGAAAGAGAGAGAGAGAGAGAGAGAGAGAGAGAGAGAGAGAGGACCTAGAGTCCAGCTAGACGTCAGAAAGGTTCAAGGGAGACAGTAGACAACAAGATAAAGCGTGACAGAACGATGAGAGAGAAAGAGTGACGAGGAGAGTGCATCTGCATGGGGAAGCTGGTGTGACCCGAAGGGGGCTGGAAGGTGAACGGGAGAGCGAGAGGGATGCCGATGGTGGAAGAGGGGGACCAGGGGTCGCGAGATACCAAAGCGAAGGGGGGAAACGGCGAGGGAAGAGAGAAAGAGAGAGAAAGCACCACGTGCTATGGGAACGGGAATGGCTCTCTCTTCTCTTGCCGGGCCTTTCGCGGCGGTTCAGTTCGAAACGGGCCATCAACGATGCCTACACACCATGGCCACACCACCATGACCATCGCGACGGAGTGTGGTGGTCGCCCGTGGTCGCCATGAGGCGTCGTCGTTCAAGTCGATGACGCTCTCAAGAACCGAACGGTTTCTCAAACTTGCTCTCGTCTCTTTTCCCTCGTCGTCTTGTCGTTTTGTTTCGCGAATTTTTCGAGTGCAGCAAGATCGATGGATCCGTTCGATTATG